GAAAAGCGCTTTTGCATACACTTTTCTTACTGAATTCTCAGAACAATCTTGTAAGCCAAGGCAAGAAGTGCTTTCACTATTTCATACAAAAGAGCCCACGGGTCCCACAAGAGGGTCGGTAGAGGCAGCCTCTAACCCATTTCTTCTGGTTCCAGACAGGTCAGAGTGTGTGTTTCTCCTGTCCTGACAATGACCTTTTCTCTAAGAAAACAGATTTTGCTTGAAATTCTTTTCCTAAAGGGCAGCGTATTGTTTATGCCAGAAATGTGCCTCTCTTCATTTACAGTGTGGTAATACTAGTTTTTGTGGTATTTATCCAGGTAATGCAGGACTTAAAAATGGTAAATTTAATTTTAAAAACCCTTGTATTTGTTTACTTTACAGATGAAATACATTTTCATATGGAATATCTAAGAAACAGTGTTATATAATAACATATAGGATAATTGTCTATTTTAGTTCTTTGTCCAAAGTTTATCCCCATGTTAGATAATTACTATGTAACATAATTCTATAGTATATTTAATAACTATAGTTTCATAATGTATAGGAAATTCACTTTATACTTTCTAGATTTCCCTTACTAGAAAGTTGATTTTCTAAACTCAGCTTACGACTAGGAAATCTCACAGCTCTTTAAAGCTGCAGCTGCATTCTCCCAGCTGTCAGACTGCGGCACAAGCTGCCATTTCATAATAACTTTCTAAAAGTAAAGTACATCCAAATATGTCACCATAAATAGAGAATTTGAGGTTGAACTTTGATTTTTCCCCCCATTTTGGGGGAAATGTTCAGACCTTTATTTCATTCAAAATAAAGATGTTTAAAACAACAACAACAAATTAAAGGACTCCCCCCCCAAAAAAAAAAAATATAAATGGAATTACAGACCCAATTTAGATTTTTTTTTTTTTTTAAGGAGAGAAAATGTTCAAACCAGAGTCATAGAGAACTAGAGCTAAAGTGACCCTGCTACCATCAAGTGCCACCTCTATTTTAATAGGCAAGGACTCAGATACCTGAGGGCTCTGCAGCTGGCTGGAATGTGCACAGCAGAGTGCAAGGCCAGGACTGGCATCCTGTGATCCCAGGAATCCGTGGCCATAGTAGATGCTGACATTTTCTGAGAGCTTTGGGGCACCAGGCCTGGCTGTTAGTGTGTTTCTGAGCTCACATCCACCTTGTTGACTCTCCCCACTTTGCACTTGAGGAAACAATAGATTCGTATAGCTTCTACAGTTAGGATGGAAGGTACAAGTCCCTCTTTTCCAGCTAACTTCTGTTGATCCTTATTTTTCATCAACCTGCTTAAAAGATTATGGCAATATTCTATAGCCTTTAAAAATCAGAAGACTTCTCCCAAGGGATTACTGTGGCCATTTAACTAGATATCACTTTAACTCTCACTTGACTTCCAACTTTGAACTTTACTCCCTTTCAGCCCCTTCTCAATGCTACCAATTAGAGTAGAACTAGTTTCAAAAATGTACGCCGAATCCTGTCACTTTGCAGCTATGACAATATACAGCTGATGCCAGTGTTACTCAAGCCTCGAGGCCAACTGCCCATGGGTCTGCAGGGCAGGGCACATCCATTGGTGTGTGACGGCAGCTGTGCCTGCTACACAGGAGGGAGAGTGCTCAGGGCCAGTGGGGACAGGCAGATGACATGGACAGCTCTAGAACAGGAATCAAAAGATCCACTGGACACTGTTCATGTGGACTGCTGATCAGGGAGATACACACAGCACAGCCACGAGTCATAAAATGCCTCTGCAAGGCTGCGCGGAAATATCGAGGCTTTAGGCAGGACTCTGGCAGGAGAAGGGGCAGAGGGTCACCCCCAGGAGAGCCCTTTTTTAAAAATATTTTTATTAGTTGTTGATGATTTTTTTTAACTTATTTATATGCTGAGAATCAAACCTAGGATGTCACACATGCTAGGCAAGCGCTCTACTGCTAAGCCACAACCTCAGCCCCCCCTCTCCTGCCCTTTCCCTCTCCCCCCACCCCAGGAGAGCCCTTTTAACCCTCTGGTTACACAGGTGCCGGACCATGTGAATCCCATGTGTTTAAGTATAAAACAGATGTAGAAATAAGAACTGGCTTGTTTATTCTGACTGGAAACTACATGTAAACATGTGGGGTGCTGGAGTTTAGAGGTTTTCTTGGTCGTTTATGAAGCAGAATGTTGGCATTGTCCTGTCTATCTTTAGTATGCAGTACACTTTCATGGGTTGGGTCAGTTGATCCTTACAGGAACTTCATCTCCATTTCAAGATAGAGGAAACTGAGACTTGGAAAAATTACAATTTGCCCAAGGTCACACAGCAGTGGGGTTCAATCTGCATTGCAAGATATCTGTTTACACATCTGCCTCCTCTGTTCCTAGCTGGAGGCACAGAACTGTAACCCAGGCATTCTGGCAGTCCCGTGTGTCAGATGGCAATAGCTGAGACAGAAGCAGGGAAGTTGTCACCTTCCCCTTCTGAGGTCTTGGGGGTTCCAGGGAAAGGGGCAACTCTTTTGGAAAATAGACAACAAGATTTTAAGAAGCTCCTGTAAGTGGAGCTGTTGAAAATACATGGAGAGAAAATTAACTCCTAGTTTTAATTTCTTATTTGAAGAGGTGAATTCCACACCTCATAGAACTTGTCCATAAGTTACAGAATTTGATGCTATGGTACTTTCTCTATGTTGCAGTACTAGGGATCAACCAGGGCGTCTCACCTGCTGGGCAAATGCTCCACCATAAAGCTACACCCTGGGCACTGCATTTAAATTAGCTTTCAGATTCCACTTCCTTTTAAAGTCTTTTCACAAACTTGATTTTTCTGCAAAATGTCTTTGATCATTGGGATAGTTCCCATGGAATTCTCATGTGATGTGTGTTTTTAAGTACTGAACAATAGTCTAAAATAAAGAAGTAGCTTGCCCAGGTGAGAATTCTTAGAACTCACTTGAACAAACCATAAGCCTGCAGGAAAGGTCCCAGAAGCAGCAGCCACTGACGGCTCTAGGGTTATCATCAGAGCTCCGAGGCCTTTCACGTGGACACCTGTATGGTAGAGGTGAAATGGAATGCTAAATGGACCTGGGTTGTGTGCTTTGCTAATGAAGAGGAAAGCAGTCAGGGAGAGAACTCAGACAGTCTGTATGGAATTGGAATTTTTTTTTTAATTCAACAAGGCTGTATCTGAAACTCTAGAGAATTTTATAGTAAAGCTTAGATAAATATTTCATGTAACATCTTAAGAAGCAATCACTTATAGTAATTTTAGTCCTCTGATTTCTGTTTGTTTTCAGATTTGAAAAAGCAAACATTTTCTATGATGATTTATATCTAGGAGCTGCCAATTGAGCCCAATTTCAGAAGACTTATCTTTATAAATAAATTAAATAGGATAATAAAGACTAGCTCTACCTACTTTTATCTCTCTTTAGGTAGAAGCAATGTTAAAAGTATCTCCCTCTCTTTTTTTCTTAGTGAAATGTCAACCATAGCCTTTGTAAACACAAAGTACCATTTACCCTCCCAGGTTTCAGCTGCCCTTAGATGGAGGTCTTGTCTCACCCAGCACCTCTGCAATTGATTTTCTTTGGAAACTGCCGCCCTGGTTCTCCTCTGGAGCAGGCAGCAACCTGCCTTGCCCCAGTTAGAGCCTTCCCTTGGCAATGCGGGCACAGTGACCAGCACCAACGTTTGGTTCTGGGAGCTATTTCTCACACTGCCCTTTGTTGGTTTGCTACTTTGATTATACAAGCTTTTCTTAGAAATATGTCTTGACTCAAGGGCTCTCCGTCCAGACAGCCCATGCGGCTTACTAACATTCATCCGAGCTACTAGCACATGGACACACCTGACATTGTAGTTCTGCATCATTTAAAGATTCATCCTTTATCCATTTAAAGCACCACACTAACCCCTACTGTGTTGTGCTGAGCACTCTCTTGTGTGCCTAAAGAATTGAACCTTCATTCATTTTAAAAAAAAAAGGTTTGATTTTGATGCTTTGTGCCGCACTTCTGTAAGACATACAATGCAGCAGTAAGTCCAGACATGATCCTTGCCATCATGGAGCTTATGTTTTAGTGGTGGAAAATAGAGGAAAAGCGAGCCAAAAAATAATAGCAGTAATACTTAGAGGTTGCAAAACGTGCTGTGAATATAGGTAGGTGTGAAATAGGCTGAGAGACTGCAGGGTGTGGGGCAGGGAGAGCTGCCTAGAGAACCAGGAGGGTCCAGTAACGTCTAAAGGATCGGAAAGACTTTTGTTGAGTGGGAGAGTCGGATGTTATCTTCTTGGAACTTCCAGAAGGCCAGCAGACATGAGAGTAGCAGAAGAGAAAGCTATAGGAAAAGGGGGTGAAATAAGGCAACTGCCGGGCCATGAAGGATCTGTGACGGGGTCAGGTGTTTGAATGTGAGTCCCACCAACAGTGGGGAGCCTTGGGGGGCTTTATGCAGTTCACCTGCAAAGGGAGTGTGAGAGTCAGCGCCTGGAAGGGCTTCCAGTGGGTCAGGAGTCCAGTTGAACAGCACTTGTCCTGGGAGCTCAGCTCTGTGCAGGGGACGCTGGGGGCAGGGGGTGTGAGACTGTGCTGTAAGCAGAGGTGCTGAGGAGCTGGGCACAACATGTGTACCTGGCGAGGGTGCAGGCTTCTCAGCTCTGCCTGGTACCTTTCTTTCATGAAGGCCTTACCCGTAAGAGCTGTTACGGTGACTTGCCTTTCTTGCTCTTTTCCTCTCTCCAGGTCAAGTTCACCATCTTCTGAGTTCCTGGGAACTCTCTAATGAGAATTCTGGATTAGGACCAGGATGTCCCCATGGCACCCTCCCAGATCCCTCACCTGGGTTTGAGATGTCTTTGGATATTTCTTAGGAGAATCTCAGTACCAGCTCTCTCCCCATGGACCCTCTGCACAATCCCATGTCCGTTTCTGTGCCTGCAGAGATTATGAAGCACCTGCATTTATGTGTTCCGTCTGTTTTCCACATAGGTTTTATGGCAGGCACACAAAGAAACCCTCAGATGTCTCAGTACGGACCTCAGCAGACAGGACCGTCCATGTCGCCTCATCCTTCTCCTGGGGGCCAGGTGCACCCTGGAATCAGTAGCTTTCAGCAGAGCAACTCGAGTGGGACTTACGGCCCGCAGATGAGCCAGTATGGACCCCAAGGTAAACGTGGCGCAGTGAGTGGTGCGAGTCTCTCAATACACTAGTCCTTCTGGGTCTTAATGCTTTAAGTGTGCTTTAAGATTCCCTTGGTGGAGCTGGGGCTGTGGCTCAGGGGTAGAGTGCTTGCCTAGCATGTGTGAGGCACTGGGTTCCATCCTCAGCACCACATAAGAATGAATAAAATAAAGGTATTGTGTTCATCTACAACTAAAAATAAAAATTAAATTAAAAAAAGATTCTCTGGTCCCTGACAGGCTGTGAGGTTAATGCAGACCTACAGTCCTTGAGCTGCCTGTCCATAATGCTGGGAAGAACCACAACCCCTGTTCCTTAATTAAGCGCTAAGTGTGCCTTGTGTTAACAGTTACTAATGGGAGAGCAAACCTGTCTCTTCAGTGCCATTCCAGTGCTTATGGAGAAAGGACACAAGCCTTAGCTTAGAAGGTTCTGATTTATTAAGGCTCATCTTGTGGGACTCGAATTTTGCACCTTTCTCTCAGTAATCCCCTTCAGTACCTCAGACTCTTGGCTCAGAAGGGTGTCCCTGCTCATGGCCCACCAGCCTGTCTTTGGGGTGCTGAGCAGGTGGGGGCATTTCTCACTTCCCTGACCATCACCATCCGACTCCTGGAAGACAGCACAGAGCCTGACACAGGTGCATATCCTCAAACAGGAAGAAAAGGGGAGCATGGAAAGATAAGTGGAAGCTGCCCCAGATGCACCCCCCAGGATCACTTTCCTAGAGCTCATGCAGGTTTTATCAGATATGCAGAGAGTCCTTTCATCAAGGTTTAACCTCATCTGGATGTGTGTGTGTGTGTATATATATTTTTTAAAGTCACTATGGGCAGTAGGACATTTGAATTTAGCACATTCTTTATATTTTGTTTACTTAGACATTAATGGATAATTTAGAGAATGAGATAATCTAGCACAATTCCTAGAGTTTCCTCACTTCTGAAAATCTCAGGAACACTCCAAGTGAAGATGAGAACATCGGGCTGCTCATCCCTCCACAGCCCCTCCAGTCCTACATGGGACAAGCCTCTTGGAGAGCCATGTGTCTTTAGCAAGCTGGGCCACATCCAGGAGGGGCCCCAGAGGCCCAGGCGCCTCACAGACAGCCGCCTCGTCCTGTTTTATGGTAGTTACAGTTTGGGAAGGGAGTGGCACTGCCAGTGTGGCCCTGCATCTTGCCTTGTACTGCTGTGTTCTGTTCCCTTTGCAGTTGTTTCTGTGCTAGGAAACTACAACAAAACCCAAAGCATGAGTCCTCTTGCCTTGGCACGTGTGCACCTGCGCAGATAGTGGACTCTGTTTTGCGTGCTTCCCTTCATGCCACGTCATACAGGTTTTCCAGGTTATTAACGCAGCAAGCCTTAGGATGCTCTTCCTGGCTGACAGTAATGGTCTGCCTGTCCCTGTCAGCACAGGTCATCATGACCTGAAGGGCTTTGAGGCAGGACTGGTGAGTGACTTATTCTGGGAGCTGCCCTTACTGTTTCTGTAGCTGTCAAGGAAAGAAGAAAACTGTAGACAGTTGGAAAGCAGTGTACAAATTATGGTGGGCCTGGAAAATGTGGACTTTTTCTCAGAATATACCTGGAGACAAGGTTGCAGCTCTGTTTTCAGAACTGGCTGCTGAATGCTGAAGGTCTAGGCCTTAACTTACAACCTTGAGGCTTTGTGTGATTTTTGACGTAGGTCTCTGTACTCCTCAGCAAGTCAGTCTTGGAGCCCCTTCCTCTACTCAGTGACAGAAGACGACCTCAGACCATCCAACAAGTCCTTTGTGAATAAACCTTGAGCTTCTGCTATGGGAGTGAATAGCAGGGAAGATGATTTCCATGGAATGAATTCCTTTTTTGACAAAATCCTCCTTCAGTTTTCTGGAGTCATTGATTATGAAGACTCTTCACTTAAGAGTACTGAGCCTGCAAGAATTCTCTCACCCAACCTGCTATGTGTTGTTGAACTATTGCTTACGCCCTCTGTGAGTTACTTTTCTTCTGGAAAATGAGAAAATTGGATTCTATTACCTTGGAAATAACTTTCAATTCCAGTGTTCCACAAGCCTAAATTTTGCTTCAATTCTAGGCTGTTTTATATTAGCGTAGCTACTGGATCCCCGTGGGACAGTAGTGTTACATTGGCAGGGCAGAGAGGCGTTTCCCACTGATTCCTCCCCAGCCCTCTGGGTTTTATCTTGATGAGGTCTGCCTAAGTTGCTGGCCTCGAGCCCACCATCCTCCTGTAAGAAGGTGTTCATGAACCAGAGCCGTCCTCTGTCCCCAATCTCCTGCTTTTTTGTGCCCTCCTCCCTCTTCTCTCCACATGGCACCCACACACTGTTCACTCTGAGGTGCATCCCTTCAAGGGTCCTGCACAGGCAAGGCTGATGCCAGGGATAAAACTAGTGTCCCAGGTTTCTCCTGTTCAAATCCACACCGCAGCCTGGTCTCAGCCAGCACCTGGTGCAGGAGGAGCACAGTGCACAGGACTCTGCCACTCGGGGAGCGCTCTTTCCTTCTCATTTCTCTTTGATGATCCTTTGAAGCAGGGACACAAATGATATTTTCTTTTCTTCCTCTCCTTAATTAACTACTCTGATTACCAGTAAAACATTCTGCTTGCATCTTCCCATTTTAGGTTTTCATATCTTTGGAAAGACACACGGGTGAATGGCAAGTGTCCTGAGCTTCGTCCTCTGTTTTCAATGACTTTTTCTTAGATTGTGTACTTAAGAGATCTCAGGGGAAGATACTTTTTACCTCTGTTTTTACTTTTGTCAAAAGCAGCTTCTCCAAAATCGTTCTTAATAATAAAGAGCTTTTGTTAACCATGTCTCTGCCCTGGGTCCCACTGTGAGGCAGGTCATGTTTCCATGCTGCTTCACAGAGGAGGAAACTGAGGCACGTAGCAGTTGAGGCTTTCTCCAGGGTGGGCAGTGACTGATGTGGCCAGCCCACTCCCTAGTGCGGGAAGGCCTTGTGAGCACATCCCATCGAGGAGGTTGGTCACTTACCACAACCCCACAGGTTTAAATGGCAGAGCCAGGCTCACAGGGACAGTGGCCTCAGAGGCCATTCACACAGTCACTGGCTGACCACGTCCCAGGCCTCGCTGTACTCCCTTCATTCACAGGCCACGCAGAAAGCAAAAGCAAAAGGTTTGCCACGCACCTTCGGGAGCCAAGAACGTGTTAGGAGTCCAGTCATGGAAACACATCAAGAGCACCAAAGAGGGCAAGAGAAAAGTCCTATGAAGTGGAGAAGGGGGAATTGTTAGAAATACTATAAAATCTGAATTATTAAATATACAAATGAGATGAAACCAACTTAAATGTGTAAAAATATTTAATTACAGTCTGTTTTACAAAGTAGTACCTTTCTACCTTAAAGGAAACACACATAGTAACTACCCTTGCAAAGTATTTGCAAGGTAAGAGGGCCATGGGGACTCACTTTAATAAACAGACTTATGTAAATAACTATTCATTATTAATAAGTAGATTTTTATGGGAAAAGAACTGAAATCAGTTTTATCTTCATAGCCCTTTTATTTCTTAAGGACAAAGATTCTATTTTGTTTTTTGTGTTCTCTAGAAAAACATCTCTCACGCTGAGCATCTATAGATACTCTGCATATTTGACATTTGATTGCAAAGAGGAGCAAGGACCTGGCCGTTGTTTTGCTACAAATAAATAGTGTTACCTCAGGCGGGTCACAACAATTCTGAGACTAGATATCACTCACTTGTACAGTAGCAACTGAGTGTTTGTGCAGGTCCTCCATGTGGAGCTGCGCAGGTTGCACACTGACATAGCCCTAGTGTTGTGCCTTCGTTTTACAGTGTCTGTCTTAGGAAGGAGAGGACCCACAAGTAGGTAAGTCTGATAAACTGTTTACTTCTCAATTTAATAAAAGGTGTTTTTCCAGAAGGATCTCAATATTTTTTCTTTAAAATAAATTAAAAGCCATCTGTAATCTTCTTTTTCCATTCCTTTCTCATAAATTCAGCAAAAACAAAATTATATTCAGTTGAAATGAATGCAGTTCCAAAGTAGTGAATTCTACAGTAATAATATTGAAGCCATTTTGGTCTAGAGGAGCAAGGTACAGATATTGCAGGCCCTCTTGTGGGCCCCTGGCATGCCTGACCCAGAGTTTCTGGCTCCACTCTTGTAAATCTGGATCCCTGTTTGTCTCCCTACCTTCCACAGGGGAGGGGCAGGGGTGCCTGCTTCCTGGGTTATGAGCTGGGGTCCGAAGGTCACCTTGGTGCAGAGGTAGATGCCGTTGTTTTTTGGACTCGACTGTGTCTGTGCTGATGGCTCTCCTTGGTATCTCTCGTTTCTTTTTTTTTTTTTTTTGGTGGGGGTAATGGATGATAACACACTTCGGGGTTATAGTTTCTTGTTCCCTTAGCCCTGTTTTGTGTTTAAATTGACAGAAGCCAAAGGATTAATCCATTTTCTATATGGTTTTGTTTTATTGAAGGGATATTCCAAACCTCTGTGTTAATAATAGTAGAATAAAACAAATGGAATTAGATCACTTAATTGAAAAAGGAAGGTTGATGTAAGCAAGTCTTCTTTGGATGTTCACATTTAGCTTAAGTGACAAGATTTAAGTGTGGAATTTTTCTTAGACTGATAATCATCATGATTTGATCAAAACCTGTGAATTCATTTTTTTAAAAAGTCAAAAAAAATTACAATGAAAATCAACTCAAAATAGGAAAAAAGAAGAAGAAGAAGAAGAAGAAGAAAGGTGGGGAAAGCTGGGCATTGCTGTGCACCCCTGTAATCCCAGCTGCTTACAAGGCTGAAGCATGAGGATCGTGAGTCCAAGACCAGGCTGTACAGCTCATGGAGACCCCATCTCTAGGAAAGGGAAAAAAAGAAAAAAGAGTTAGTTTGACTTAGGTAAAGCTAATTATTCTACCTTGATAATTAAAGTCAGCAGCACACACAGGACAATGTCCTTTCTGCTAATCG